ACCGAGATCATGAGCACCTTCAGTTCCAGGTCGGCCATCATCGCCTCGACGTAATGCTGCACGTCCTGCTCCATCCGGGCCCCCGCGAACAAGCGCATGACCACGAAGACGCGGGTCTCCTGGCGCCCTGCTTGGCGTACTGCCTCGCACCAGCTCGCCACGGAGAACCCGCTCGGGGGGGGGGGCCATCTCGTCGAAGTCGTTGGCGCTCGGCCCAGTCGTCGTCCTTCAGCATCTGGTATCCGGCCTGCCACGCCAGAGTGTGACCATGCTGCGGGTCCACCAGGCTGCGCCTCAGCGTCATGGAGCATATCCTCGCATTGATTGGCATCAGGATGTGCACGCTGTGGGAGCTGCCCATGACTAAACGGCGCAACATCGGGTAGACCCAACTCTCAGGATCCAAAGAGTCTCGCTGGCTGGGCGACAGACGCCACCAGACGGCGGACGCCCTCACGGGCGGCACGCACTGCCAGCCCCACATCCAGCTCGGAACCTCAACGAAAGAGAAGGCGTTGCTCTCGTCGAACGCCGCGGCCGCCCAGTCGCCCGACGGGACGTGCAGGCTGGCCAACGCACCTCGTCCGTGTAGTCCGTGTTCGGCTCTACCCCTCACGTCCTGAAACATATAGTTGGCCGCCACCATCATGATGATCTTACGCTGCCACCCGCTGGTCTTCTTGCCCACCGCGCTGAAACCCGCGATGGCCTTCACCTCCTGCGGGCCCCCGAAGTGCCACAGGTTGGGCGGCATGTCTGAGCGGCTGACATATTTGTCGTACTCCTCCTGAGTACCTCCGACGAAACCGAACTTGGCCTGCAGCTCCTCGAAGATCACGCGGCTGCGCAACTCCGTCGGGGCGACCACAAGCCCCTCGTCGCTGTAGTACCTGGCCTCCTCCGGCTCGAGCGCCTCGAGCATGTTCACACTCTTCACTACTTGTGGCTCATCAAGGTCCTCCGCTCTCAGGGCCTCATGGGTCGACAGGCGGGTAGGCTTGCCATAGCCCATTTCCTCCACTCGAGCTAGCTCCAGCACCGCGGGGGCGCCTGTCAGACCGCAGTCTCGGCGCGCCTCTGCCAGCCGTTTAGCTTCTCGTAGAGCTACCCTATGCACCTGGCCGTGCAGCCCCCGCATGTTCTCCGACAAGCTCTCCTTGCGGCGGGTGCGGGTGATGTCCTTGCACGAGCCCGTGTCCATGGAGTTGATCCCCTGCACGAACTCGTTGGCGAGAGCCCACAGGGTGAGCTTCCGCTTGAATCGATGCCGCAGTCGACTAGATCGGCTCGTCATCTGGGTCGGGCGATCCACCAGCGCGATGGGGAAGAACGCCTCTTGTCCCGGCTGAGCCGAGATCACCTGCTGCAGCGAGGGGTGTAGATCGCCACGCACTCTAGGCACCTACGTCGCTGGAGGGCTCCGCGCCCCGACGGCAGGCTCGTCGGGGCGCGCCGCGAGCCCCTACTCATGCTTGGAGTCGGCGGACTTGCCGCCACGGCCTCCACCTCGGCCACCTCCGCGACCGTCGCTTCGGCCGCCGCCCTTGTCGCTCTTGCGCCTGTGGCGTGCCTCAGCCTCGACTCTCTCCCTGCGCTGGTGCTCGATCTTCGAGTGCATCGTCGCTGGGGCCACCATCCACGTCGGAGCCACGTCGGCCGAGCCGCCAGGCGGCGCGATGCCCAACATGTGCTGGGCTCCGACGCGGTCGCCGCTCCGCTGCTCGTACACGTGCGCCGCGAGGCGGCGGAGGCCGATCTCCATCATGTCGCCCTTGGCCAGCGCCTGCATGATCTCCAGATCGCTGCCGCAGTCGCGGAGGCGGAAATCGACCGACGTGGCGAGAGTCCACAGGTCGACCCACACTGGGCTGGTGCGACTCCCCTGTTAGGGCTGGGCGATCCAGTCACGTGCGCTCGTCGACCCCTCACCTCTCATCGCCCTGTAGATCTCGGGGGCCGCACGCTGGAGGTCCGCTGGTAGCGAGGAGCCCCATCGCGTCTCCTCCGAGCCTCCCGCCGCGGCGGCCAGGCCCTGGCTGGGGGTGGACTGCCAGATGCCTGCGCCAGCGGTCAGCGCGGCCTCCGACGCGAGGCGGTCCAGCGCGGCCCCAAGCTCCTCGTGGCGGGGGGCCGTCACCGTCTGCTCGCCTACGTAGCCGAACCCCGTCAGGAGACGCCTCACCTCGGGCACCAGCTGCCCGCTCGAGTCCAATCGTGTAGATGTTGGACCAGAAGCGACGACCCCACATGTAGTCTTGGCCCCTGGCGTTCGCGAGCGCCGTCAGGAGCTCCTTCACCTGCTTGGCCTGCTGCCGGACCTTGATGTCCAGCTCGGGCGGCCTGTGCTGAGGGATGCTGGGCGGACTGCCCGCTGGGGCGGTGGCGCCCGCCTCTGGGGCGGCCAGGGCGGCTAGGCCCGCCCACGCTCCCAGCGCGCCCAAGCTCGCGGCGCCCGCGGGTGCCTGGGGGGCCTGACCCACTGGGGGCCCGACGGGCCATGTGGCTGGCCCCGCCATCGTCACGCCCGGCACCTGCGGGACCCCCGGCGGCGGCGCTCCCGCGTCGGCCCATCCGTGCACGGCGCCGTCGGGCGGACCGCCTCCAGGGAAACCTCCACCTGGCATGCCCATCGCTCCCGACAGGGCCAGCTGCGAGGCCATCTGCGCCTTCGTCGCCTCCTGGTCGCAGTAGAGCCACCAAGCCTGGCGCACGACCCGCGCCGTGGCGAGGAGGCCCATCAGCCCGCAGACGGTGAGGCCCGCGAGGCGGGCCCGCCCCGTCGAGCCCAGCTGGGCGGCAAGGGCTCCTCCTCTCCCCGCCAGGGCTAGAAGTCCCCACGCCGCCGCGAGCCACCAGCTGCCCAGGCCTGCGGCGGCGGCGGGGCCCTCGGGGGCGGGTGGCGGCGGTTCGCCTCCGAGGGCGGCGTCCAGTCCAGGCGGCGCGGCCGCCGCAGCCGCTTCGCCCCCCAGCGTCATGGCGGGCCCGTCTGGTGGAACACAGCGGCACCCCTCGGGCGCCGCGGAGAGACCTGCAAGAGGGTGCCCGCGGAGGCACCTCGAAACTCTGATCAGTGATTCATGGTGCCTTGAACTTGAAACGGTTTCGGGCGCAGGCGAGACCTGGAGACAACGCCCGAAACAACAAGACATATCCCACCCCGTGGCCCCTTCGCTAACCTATCTGAAATTCAACGTTCACAAACTCACTCACCCATATATATATATATATATATATATAGATGCGTATGTGTATATATGTGCGTATGTCTTCACAGGGTCCACGACGGCCACAGAAGCCCCCAGGATCCCCCCCCAATACGGCACAAGAGGCCCCCAGGGCCACCCCAAAACTGCCCAAGAGGACCCACCATGGCCCAGGAGGGCCCCGAAACGGCCCAACATATGCCCCTCGAAGACAGGAGGCCCCCAAGAGAGCCCCAGAGGGCCCCGAGAGGGGCCAAGGACGGACCACACACCCAAGACGGCCCAACAGGGCTCCGGGACGACCCACGGGGATCCAGAAAGGCCCAGAGAGGCGACATGCATGTATGTTAGCAAGGCCGGTTGGTACTTGATTGTATGACGTACCGAGGTCTTAACACCAGCATGGCTCCCAGACACCGAGCAGGCGACCTCGCATCCTCACAGAGTACGAGCGCCTCGTCCCCGTGCAAAGCAGGTATGATGGCCGTCGGCCCATCCCGCCACCGTGCCTTGGTCGTGGGTCTGAGGCCTCTTGGATGTTCGTTGGGGTCTCGTCGAGGTCTCGCTGGGGCATCCTGGTTGCAGTTCTGAACCCTCTGGTGGGCTGCTTTGCGGCATCGTGGGGCCTCTTGGGGACCGTTTGGGGCCTCGTGGGGGGCCTCCTGGAGGCCATGGGGGCCTCTTGGGAGCCTCTTGGGGCCTCCTGGGTGCCTCTTGGGGCGGAGGCTCGGATTGTTGGTTCGTCTTCTTCCTCTTGGGCCCCTCTTGACGCCTCCTTTGGGCCTCCATTGAACCGTTCTGGGTGCCTCACGGGCTGTCTCAGGGCCTTCTTGGGCCGGCTTGGAGCTCTCCTCGGGCCGCTGAGGCCGTCTTGGGGTGGTCTTGGGGGGCCTTCTGAGACGCATTGGAGCGTCCTGGGCTCGAAAAGTGGAGAACCCAGAAAAAATTGCAAACCTTTTGCGAAAATCCATGCTTTTGGCCTCTCGAGGCCGTCTTTGGAAGGCTCTGAGGGGCTCTCCTGGGACGTCCCAAAGTGTTTTTCGGCCGCCTGGGGCCATCTTGGGTGTCTTGGGGCCGCCTCGGAGGCCTCGTTGGACCCTCCTGGGGCATTATCAAGGCTGTGTTGGCCCGTTTGGGGGCGTCCTCCCTGCACAAGACACCGCCCCCGAAGCCTACGCGGAACACCCTGAGAGCGCCTCGCCGCGCCCGGGAATTTCGTGGTCCGGGCCCTTGGGAGTCCTTTAATTGTTTGAGTTGCGTGACCTCTCCGAACTGCATGAGGATTGGTCCGCTCCACGACGTGCTGAAGGCACGGTGGCGGATCTGTAGATCAGGCACGCGTACTAAATTGCAGATCGAACGGCCTCACAACAGGACTTGCGGAGCCTGACTGTGCCCCAACGCTGTCGTCATCGTTGTTTGTCTTTTCCTCGGCTTGCTGGTAGTTGCCGACGTCGTGAGTTGCGACGACGACGACGACGATCGCGTGCAAGACAACGACTTCGACGACGACGACGACAACGCCCAAGCGGAAGAAGACAAGGAGGAGGAAAGGGGTGTTTGAAAAGGAGGAGGAGGAAGAAGAGGAGGGGGCGAGGGGAGCAGGCGGAGGAGCAGTGGTGGATCGAGCGAGGAGCGGGAGGGACAAGCCAAGTGGATTGAAATGGCGCGACCCTTTTCCTCTCACGTGCCCCATGTTATCCCTTCTCGTTCCTCGCCTCCTCTTCCCCATCCTCCTCCTCCTCCTCCTAGCGTCCTCCTCCTTCTTGCGTCCGGGCTGCGGCGGCGACCGCCGAGGCCCCGGCGGCGCCGGCGACCGCGGCAGGGCCGCGCGCCTGGTGCGCGCCCTGCGGGACACCTCGGGCAGCTGCGCGCGCGTGCTGCTCGGGGAGGCCGCCGCTCGTCGGCGCCGATGACCGCCACCACTCGCCGCCGCCGTCGTCTCGCTCGCGGTCTTGGTCGTCGGCGCTGTTCGGAGGAGGCAGAGGTACCGATGCCGCTGCCCCACTGCCTCGTTTTCATCGTTCGTTGGCCTCCCAGGAGGCCCTGGCCGCCACCGCCGGCTCCGTCTCGAAATGCCGGTCCGAACGCACCCCGGGAGAGGCCTGGGGAGCAGCGGTATCAGCACCTTTCGATCTCCAGTCGTCGTCCTCGCATGTCCACACGCGCCGGCTCCGCCTGCCCGCCCGCCTGCCAGGACGGGTGCTCTGCCCTGCTCGCCTGCTCGTCTAGCGCAGCCACTCACGATCTACGCCTTGTGGGATTCACCATGTAGCGTGCGCCCCGTGCTATCTATCACTCGCAGCGGTGACGTCGCCTGGTCGGCGGAGGCAAAGAAGAGTAGCCTCAAGTCGGGCGCGCCCAGGAGGAATATCAAGCAATATTCAAACAATCGTCTGGATAATATGTTTATTTGTTGACTTCAAACATGCTTGGCTATTCTTGATGCCTCGTCCAAGAACCGTCTGTAGGGGGACACGCCCGACCTAACAGCAGCCTCCGCTGCCGCCAGATCGTTGTCGCCGCCGCCGCCACTGCCGCTGCTCGTCGACGCCGCCGCCGCTCGTCGTGAGAGGAAGGGGTACCGATGCCGCTGCGCGTCCCGGAGGTCCCTCGCCTCCACGGCCGGAGTCTCCTCGAACGTCTGTCGGGGAAACGAAGGACTCGGGCAAGCTGGAACTCGGGTCTGCCGACGTGTTCTGACGAGCGCGTCCTGGATCTTGACGGTTCAGCTTACGTGGGATGTTTGCAGCGGGAGTTCGCGTCAAATTTCAGATTGGGCCTCGTCATTTTTACGATGGCCCCGTCAGGCCAGCCCGAGTCCCCCGTACCCAAGTCTTACGTTTCCCCGGTTCTGGTCAGAGCGCACCTTTGGAGAGGTCCGGGGATTTTCGATATTGGTACCTTTTTGCTTCCCCACGCCCGATGTCGTCGTCGTGGTCGCGGTCGTGGCCGTGCTGCTGAGGGATGACGCCGCTCGGATCGAGCGGCGAGGATTGCGCCATTCTGCGACCGGTTGCGGGCCCTTCCCATGCGGGTCCAATCGACGCTGGGGTGTCCAGCATCCCCGCTGGGTGTATTTGGTTTCAGACATCTTTCGAATTTCGAACCTCAGCCGGCGTTTCAGAATTCTGACTTGCAGGGTTAGGGCTTACACATGCTTGCCTTGCCTCGCGCACCAGTCCTGGCTGGGCCGGCCCTGGTCCAAGGTTGTGCGAATGGAATGAATGTGCTCGGAGCGTCACTTTGCTGAGGTCCGCGCAGATCCCTGGGGTCGGCGCTGGACACCCCCTCTCCCTGGAAGAGGCGCCGCTTGAGGGCAGAGGGGCGCAGCGCCGCCCTAGACAGACCGGCGCGGACGTTCGAAAGTGTAGGCTCAGGCATCAGGGCGTGAATGTCCTACCCCGTTTGCGCTTCCAGGAAAAACCAAGTCATACCACGCGCCCCCTCGTGAAGCGGCCTGACTGGTGCGGGCCGTAGCTTGGTATCGTTCGGTACCATGTGAAGGCGAGGGTGGTCACAAGCGAGGTAGGTTCGTTTGCCTCGGAATGCAGTTGTCCTAGATGTATCAGCCTCGGCCGAGCCAGAAGGATGCACGCACCCATCCTGGACTCAGAATTCGGACGATCTTGGCCAGGATCGGCGCATGGGCGCAGTCCTCTCCTCTTTTCCGGCGTGGCGACGCCAGCACCGTCGTCGTCGCTCGAGAAGGCCGCCGCTCGGGGGTTCGTCGCCGTCGGCGCCGTCGGGTGTCGAAGGCCTGCGAAGGTTTCTGGTGGCCCTCGGAGGCGTTCGGCGGCTCCGAGCTGCGGCCGCCGTCTCGTCGCCGGAGCGGCCGCTCGGTCAGCGGCCGCCGCCGCCAGCCACGGAGGAGGATTCCCTCCAGGGCTCGCGTCGGCAAGGCCCGCTGCGCCGCTTCTGGCAGATGGGCCGAGAGGATCGAGGGTCGCGGGACCAGGAATCGTGGATTCGGCATCCAGGGTCGAGGAGCGAGGGTCGAGGCTCGAGGGGCGAAGGGCCGAGGGATCGAGGCTCGAGGGTCGAGGGTCGAGGGATCCACGTGGGCAGCAGGACCGAGGATCGAGGCTCTGGGACTGAAGCCGCCGAGGCTCAGAACCAGAAGCCTCTCGGCACATCCCAGGGCCAGGCATGAAGAAGCTACGCACATGCAGCCGGACGGCTTCCAGGTTTCGTCGGGCCTTATTGGTCCTCCACTCGCAGAGCATAAGCGGTATACACCGGAGTTCTCCCAGGTCCGCTCGGATTTCTTGGATCGGGGTTGGGCCCCCCTTGTGGCGCCTCCGCGCCGCCCCTGGTGAGCCCCGCGCGCCAGAGAGAGGCGTCCAGCGCCAATCCAGGATGTCCGCGAGGACCTCCGAGAAATTATGCTTCCTGAAATTTGTCGTTGCTCTATCCCTGGATACTTTGGTTTGCTCTGCACGGGAGGTGTCCAAGATCTGCCAGATCTCACGCCCTGCGTAGATGTTGTACTCAGGTTTCGCTCCCCAGTGCACCAAGCATCTGCGCCTCTAGAGAGACGTCGTCTCCCCACTTGTGACACCCGCCGCTCGGCGCGGCGTCAACCGCACAGCCGATGTATGCTGTTCTCCCCCGTTGGCTGGGGCTGGCCCTCTTGTGAATGAACGGGCCAGCGAGCAGATCCGAGTCGAACTGGGGGATGCCGGGAGGCCCGCCAGGGACCTCATGGGCCCTTTCCTGGACCTGTAGGCCTCCAGCGAGGAGGGGTGGGCGTACCGAGGGCGGAGAAGGCGGAGAGAAGATGCAGTGGAGGAGGGGGAGGGGGCAGAGAGAGGGCTGAGGGGATTCAGAGGAGGATGAGGAGGAGGAGGAGGAGGAGGAGGAGGAGGACAGAGTGGAGGACGAGGAGGAGGACAAGAAGAAGGATAGTAGGAGTTGGAGGTGGGGGGGGCATCTTCCTGCGCGTGGCAGGCAGAGCCGTACACTGTGCAAGCGGACGCGGTGGTGCAGGGCATCAACACGATCAGCAATGAGGATCGGCTTGTCGAGTCGTTGAGGAAGCGACCCCAGCAAGACGAGGTGCGGCGTACAATGCGGAGCTGGAGATGATGGATGTTTCGAATGGAGTATTTCAATGGCAGCAGGTAGGTGATGGTGACAATGCGTCAATATGGTGATGTTGATGATGCGTATGGTGTTGATGATGAGTGTGACGATGTTGATGATGATGACGATGGTGATGGTCCTGATGATGACCCTGATGAGTATGATGATGACGACGATGATGATGCTGATAATGTTGATGATGGTGATGATGATGATGATGATGATGATGATGATGATGATGATGATGCTGACGACCACGACGATGACGATGACGATGACGATGAATATGACGATGGTGGTTCTGATGTTGCAGGTCTTGAGTCTTACCAGGACGCCGATGACGAGCTTCGTTATTCCGAACATGTCTTGGGCGCTTCAATTCTACCTTCTAAAACTCAGCCGCTTAGAAATCATTTGTTTGAGGGCTTCCGGGTTCCGAAGAGAAAACTTACAACGCTAAACAAAGAGTCGTTGTTCCCAACCATCCTGTGTTGTTGGGTCCTCGTTTTGAAGAGACAGCGCCCCCCGTCTCACCTTACCTCACCTCCCGCGCTCCTCCCCTCCTCCCTCCTCCCATCCATGCCTCTGCTCTCTTGCATGCCCTTTCCGGCGCGCACACCTCACACGCTTTGAGGCCTCATAGGGTGCTCTGCCGAAGGCCCGAGAGGCAGGGTCCGCATGCAGTTTCACCTCCATTTCGGCGCAACCCTCACACGTTTCGTGGCCCTATCCCGATGGGGGGCTCCACCGAAGATCCCAGTGGCAGGGTCCGCATGCAGTTCCACCTCCATTCCAACGCACCCATCACACGTTTCGTGGCCCCATAGGGCGCTCCACCGAAGGCCCCAGTGGCAGGGTCCGCATGCAGTTCCACCTCCATGTCTGCGCACCCCTCACACGTTTCGTGGCCCCATAGGGAGCTCCGCCGAAGGTCCCAGTGGCAGGGTCCGCATCTAGTTCCACTTCAATTTCGGCGCACCCCTCACACGTGTCGTGGCCCCGTAGGAAGCTCCACCGAAGGCCCCAGTGGCAGGGTCCGCATGCAGTTCCACCTCCATGTCTGCGCACCCCTCACACGTTCTGCGGTCCCAAAGGGTGCTCCGCCGAAGACCCCAGTGGCAGGGTCCGCATGCAGTTCCACCTCCATGTCGGCGCACCCCTCACACGTTTCGTGGCCCCACAGGGTGCTCCGCCCAAGGCCTCAGAGGCAGGGTCCGCATGCAGTTCCACCCCCAATCTGGCGCATCCCTCATACGCTTCATGGCCGCATGGGGTGTTCCACCCAAGGCCCCAGGCATGGTCCGCATCCAGTTCAACCTCCAGTTCGGCGCACCCCGCACACTTTTCGTGGCCCCACAGGGAGCTCCACCGAAGGCCCTAGTAGTGACAGCGCCCGCACGCGGTTCCACCCTGCAATCGGGCGCACCCCTCGCACGTTCCGTGGCCTCACATGGGGCTCCACCGACGGCTCCGCTGGCGGCGTCCGCATGGCGTACCCGTGTCAATTTTGGCACACCCGTCACACGCGTCGTGACCCCATAGAAGTTCACCGAGGTCGATACCCACAACTGCGCTGCTCACAACTGCACGGAGTTGGGCCCCTCGCCACGATATTTGTTGTGTTTCGCCTCGCTGTCTTTGCGTCATCGGATCAGTTGATTGCGTTGCTTGAAATTGCCGTCTACGACGTCCTCAGTTCATTCTCCTTGGGCCTAGTACCCCCCGCCATATTATTATGTCCGGCCGTCGCTGTGGCTGGTCGCGGGGCCCCTGGGCCTGTTTCGCGCCAGTGTTCGACCGATGTTTGGGAGTTTGTTGTTGGTGCGTTGTTTGATATGCGCGCGGAGCGGGAGGAGCGGGAGGCAGCAGGAACGGGAGAGCGCTGAAATGTCAAGAGCCCAAAGTACAGAACGGTCGACACTTTCTGGACTGCGGGGCGAGAGCGAACCTCTTCCGGTCGAACGGTCGAAACACGTCAAGGGCGATTTTAGGGTGAACCAAGATGATGAAACAGGGGGGCGTTACGGGGAGATTGATGGGCGATCGGGCGGATGAGCAAAACGAAGAGAGCAAGGATGAGGCGGGAACGGGCGAGGGCAGACGTCACAATGATGGAATAAAATAGGAAGATCTGGAGGGGAGATAACTAGAAGGTGGCGTTGGCGGACGAGGAGGAGAAGCACGATTGGGATCAGTGTGAAGATGAAGATAAGCAAGAAGGGGAACGTCGAGAAGGAGGGAGCAGTGACGAGTCTGGATAGGGAAGGAGGAGGGAGGAGGAGGATGAGGAGGAGGAGGAGGAGGAGGAGGAGGAGGAGGAGGAGGAGAAGGAGGGAGGCGGAGCATGGCAGGGACGGAACGATCAAGAGGGAAAAGAATGAGGCGAAGGCAGGGGCAAAGGAGACAGCGTTGGAGGGGAGCAGGAGGAGGAGGAGGTAGGATGCTGGAGGCAGGAGAGATAAGAGAGGGTGGAGCGGGAGGAAGTGAATGGGGAGGAGGAAGGGGGGGGGATGCAGGAGGATGCAGGAGGATGCAGGACGATGGGTGAATGAAGATGGGGGGGAGGAGTGGAACATGGAGGAGGGAGAGACAGAGGCAGAACGACAGAACGAGAATGAGAGAGAGAGAGAAAGAATGAGAGACGGGAACGATATACGTTTGTCTATGCATTTGTTGATATAGAATGCTATGTTATGTGGGCTATCTATCTATATATATATATGTGTATATATATATATATATATATATAGCCAGTAGGGGGGGGGGGCGCCGGGATCCCCAGGTTGGTATCTCGAGCGGGAGTTTTTTCCGTTATGGGGACGACGAGGACGGGGACGACGGCGGCGTTTGAATGTTTCCGCGTCGTATCCTCCGGATTGGCATGGCCCATCCTTCCATTTGTTCGAGGCCGCCCTCCTCTGCCTCCTCCCCGATCCCTTCTCCTCATAAGCAACTTCTGCCTGTCGCACCGCCAGACGTGTCGATCAGACGGGCCTCGCGTTTCGCATGAGACTTTATCGCCATCGATGGGCAGGAACCTTGAACGTTTGAAACAGGTTGGCGAATGTGGCACTCGCCTTAGCGCCGCACGTTACCAGTTTTCAGCCGCTTCACGGATGGATGGAGTGGTTATCGCCTTGGCGACGCGCGCATCCGATTTAAAAAATTGCAGCAGTTTCACGGGTTTGGTGGGGGCGTTTTCGAAGTGCGGTTCTCGCCCGGGCGCCGCGCACATTCCTCGAAGCCGCTTGCCACAGTTCCTTCATTGAGGGGGGGCTGGTTTTGTAAAGGTGGTACTCGCTTTAGCGTCACGCACATTCGCCATACAACATGTGTAGCAGCCGCATGGATGCACGAGAGGCTTTTTTTGTCAGGCATTGTGCTCTCGCTTCAGTGCCGCACACATTCGTCTTACACGCTCGCACTAGTTTCACGTATGGACGGGCTGCCCGTTTCATCCAAGTGGGGTTCTTGTTTGGGCATTGCAGACATTCGTTCAAAGTGTTGCAAAGCCTTCAAACTTATGTTTTTGCTTCAGCGCCGCGCGCTTTTTTGTTTATTGCACCGCGTAGCAGGTAAGAGAGCTGCTGCAGCATGGAGTCGTCGTTTGTAACGTCACTCCTTTGTTAAAGGCCCGGAGCCTCTACGCGTGTAGCGCTGCACCGAGTCATGGCGGCCCTTTCTCAGTCTTTAGTTGTCGCTTGCGACCCCCCTACAATGTCATGGCTTCACGTGTGATTTTCTTTGCAGCCGTCACGCATGGGAGGGGTAGGGGGGGGGGGGTGTCCTTCGACTGGCGGTCTCGTTGGACATCTGGTTGAATGGTATGGCCAGTTCTGGCTCGTGTTTCTGAGTACGCGCGGGAAAGATGCAATGCGGTTCGTGTTCAAAGCGAGGATTCCCGCCAGAAAGGCAGGCCCTACGGTGCTGTTCTCTAGGGGGGGGGGGCAGGCGCTCCGTTTATCGAACAAAACTTGGAGGGGCGTGTGAAGAGGGGAGTTTGGACGGGAGGGTGCGTTGCAGCATTGTTGATGCAGTTTCGGCTTATTCTGGTCACCCTCATGCTCCCCATCGTCCGCATCCTTCTTCTATCCTTCCCTCTCCTGCTAGTGCTTCCCCTCCAGCAGCTCTCCCTGCTCCTTCTCACGTATCCACTTCATCCCGCATCCATTACTCCCCTCCTCCTTCACGCGCATGTATGTTCGGCGGTGCTCGCGCGCGGACGTCGACGTGGTCAAGTCGGGCAGGCCAGAAGCTCAGAGCGAATATGTGGCGCAGGCGATACGGACGCCGCCCAATTCAGCGCAAGCAGGCGCACACACAATCAGACACACATACACGCACGCACGCATCGCCAGCTGCCCGTCGTCATCTGCGCTCTGGGTCTTGACCTCATCGCCCCCCCCCGTCCGCTCTGTATAGTATCCCCTGCTCCCCGCCGGCGCAAGAGGAGCTGGAGGCCCTGCGCGGACACATGTTCGAAGGCATCGCCGACGCGCTCAACTTCTCGAGGAGGACCACGGTTTTCGCAACGAGGATTAGGACTCGGAGGAGGAGGAGGAGGAGAGGTAGGAGGAGGAGGAGGAGGAGGCCACGCTCGCAGTGGCGCCGCGCAACGACGTGCCGCCAGTTGGCGCAGAGGCAGGCGCGGTGCTGCAGGGGTCGAGGGAACTGTTTCGAAATTGCGAGACCCTGCCCTCGCAGTGCGGGAACGCGCGCAGGGCATGTCCCGCACTGCCAGAGCACGAATGGGGACAACACCATGCCTGCCCCTTGCCCCAGGAAGCGGCACATCGCGCCCCACTTGGTGCGCACGACGAGACTAGACCAGGAGGAGGAGATGGAAGACGAGGAGGAGGAGGAGCCCGAGTCATAGGGAGAAGGCGGCGAGGGAGACGACGAGGAACGGTCTTGGACCAGGAGGGGCGGGCTGAGGAGGAGGCGGAGGAGGATGGCGGTGGAGGCGCCAGCGTCCTGTATTCCGATAGGACCGCGTGGACGCGGACGGGTCACGGCTCGCTCCGGCGCGCGAGCCCAATCTGCAGGCGCAAGAGAGGAGGAGGGAGCCGTGACGGCCTTGCTCCGCCATTCCCCTCTGGCGCGGGCCGCGGCTCATCCGTCAGCGTCGTGGATGTCTATCGCGGCCCCATGGCGGAAAGCATGGGGATCAATCCCAAAGGCGTCTACCGCCGGCGTGCCGACGGCAGCAAGGTCGTCGCGCGAAGACCAGCAGTAACTTGCTGCAGTGCCCCAGCGGGTATACAGGTTCGTGGGGGTCGCCACGGCCGGCGGGCGGCCTAGACGCCCACGTGTGCACGCAGATCACTGGGTCGACTTTGCAAGCACATGTGGCCTCGAGCGTGGACTGCGCGCGCAGCAGCCCTTCACGCCGAGTGGCGCCGAGTCGCACTGTGCTGCCGTCCGATTGCAACAAAAAACGCGTTAACTGTCCCAAGAGCTCGGATGGGACGCGGAGCAGGAACGCATACGCCATCATGTAGCCCATGCCCCGGAAGAAGTGTCTGGACATGGGACAATGCGCCAGGGGTGGCCGCAGCTTGCTCTTCTGAGTACGAGGCCCGGGAGGCGCTGGAGGCTGCAGCATCCGCGCACCAGGCCTGATGATGGCCAAGAGTGGAGAATGCTCCACCGGCCAGTAATAGCCAGCCAGATCATGGAACTTGCGCCACGCTGACAACATTGTCTTGGGCGTGCCTTCATGTGTAGGCGGCGAATTGGTTCACTTGATTCGGAGTTGTTGGGAGGAAGGGCACTTTCAGGAGCTCGCGGAAAGCCTTTACTGCCCTTGCGGTCGACATGTACCTGCTGAGCGAACGACCCACATGAGCCCTGAGTCTGATCAGCTGGTCGTGAAATATCGCATGGACGTCGAGACCCTCTTCCCCGGCAGAGCGCAGCATGTCAAGCTGCTTGCGCGGCAGTGCGTTCACGCTTGTCCTCCGCTGCTAGCCGAGAGCGATTCCGATGAATTCGCGTACAGCATTTGGCGCAACTTGTGCCAACGAAGTTGCCGACTCCAGTCTCTTGAGAAGGCCAGTGTCGGCGCACCCTCTCACTGCGTTCGGGGCGTTCGTTAGGTAATGTGCCCAGGAGGCTACAGACCCTGGAGGGTTCCTTATCTGATGAGAGCGAATCCATGGCCAAACCATGGCCAATCCACGAATGGAGTTCCTTGGGCTTCCAGACTCTGGATTCCTTATCCCATGGTTTTTTATCCAATGCCTTCACCGTAAATGACAAGGATTCGGGTTGCGAGTCTCGTCCAAAGATCCCCAACCCGCCGCATCAAGCGACGACCGGACGCGGGCAGGCAGGCACTCCCAGGACCCCTTTAGATGGCTGGCCCTGGAAGGATAGAGAGCGTGAGGGCAGATAGGGGGACTGGCGCGCGCCAGCTGCCCGCCGAGGGGGACGCCAAGGGCGGGGCCCAGAGTCCAGAGGCTTGCTTGCAGCTCTGGATCGCCTCGCCGCGCGAAGAGCTGCGGAAGCAGCCGCCGCGCGCTGCTGAAAGTCGTCAGGGCCGGCAGGGCTGCGCCTATGCGATCCTCCTCCTCCTCCTCCTCCTCCGGCCTCCTCCTCTTCCCCCTCCTCCCCCTCCTCCTCCTCGACATCCTCCTCCTCCTCCCTCCTCCTCCTCCTCCTCAGCCGGGGCGGCACGCACCCGTGTATGTGTGTGCGCTGTGAACATGCGGCGGCTGCCAGGCCGACGTGAAGCCCGGAAGCTTCAGGGCAACGCTGGCAGTTGCGACCCCGCGCGCACTATGAGTGATGGGCCTGCTTTCCACCACCACCACCATAAGTTGGAGGGAGGGTGAAGGAGGAGGAGGAGGACGAAGAGGAGGAGGAGGAGGAGGAGGAGGAGGAGGAGGAGGATGAGGAGGAGGAGGAGGAGGAGAAAAAGGAAGAGGAGGACCCCCTCCCCCTCCAACTTATGGTGGTGGTGGTGGAAAACAGGCCCATCAATGATCCGAGTGGACTGCAGTGTCCCGCGACCGATCGCACAAAAGGAGGCTAAGATGGCTGGCGCACTACAAGTCATCAGCGTAAGATGCCCACGAATGCAATCCAACCATTGCCACACGTTGCGACGTCCAGTCCGGCAGTTGCGGAGGGGTGCCGTAGGCATCAAGATAAAACGATGAACGATCAAGGAGCGGGATGTTTCAGAAGACCCGACCCCGCGTAGCAAGCCATTCCCAGGGAGCATTGCGAAGAAAACGTGCGGCGGCAGCAAACGCAGCCATCAGCTCCCTCCTGGGACCCCCCCAGAGTGGAAGAGGGGAGGGGAGGCGAGGAGCAGGGGGGGCCGGGGATGGAACGAGGGAAGGCAGGAGCAGGCGGGCAGCAGCAGGCAGCAAGACCACCCTGGGATGTCTCCTGCCGCGGGGGCTCCCCGCCCTGAGCCGCGGGGAAGACAGTGGCGATGAGGTCCCGGCCCTTTTGCTGGGCAAACCGACATATAGTGCTCAGGTCAAGTCAGCGACCCTTTTCAACGCGCTCTGCGTCCCCACGAACGCACCGAACGAGAGAAGGGAGAGGGACGCGACAGGAACGAAGATGACGACGGCCATGCCGATCAAGACGCAGACGACGATGATGACGTTGTGTATCCTTCAGAATACTGTTGCCAAGCTGCTGCTCGAGGCCGTTCGGGCGGGCGGCCTCGTCCGAGGCGCGGCAGCGGCATCAAACTGCGAGGCGGCGCGGGCCGAGCCTCGGGAAGCAGCGGCGGGGGGGCGCAAGCCCCGCCCCGCGCTGAAAGGGGAGGCGCCAGCCCTGCCCCTCCACGACCCGGGGTTGCCCGAAGGCTCCGCCCCGGCAGGAAGACCGAGGAGGCGCGAGCCCTGCCCCGGAGACGAATATGGGGATGCTGCCCACCGACCCCAGACCGCCAGGGCTCCCACCGACCCCAGACCGCTAGGTCGAAGTACCACTGCGCGGGCACGTCTGGCGAGGCCACCCGAAACCAGCGGAACGATAAAGCCGCCGAGGTGTCAAGGCGGTACAGCGGGTCCGCGGGTTTCTCCTCCGATGGAACGCGGACGATCCACAGGCGCGCGCGCGCTGCGCTCAGACCTCGCGGCAGACATCCGCAGCGAGGCAGCACAGCGTCGCAGAGCCGGTCATGCCCTTGCGCGGCACGCTTTCTGCGGCCGAGCTGTCGACGACGACGACGGTGATGTCGGCGTCCAGCAGGCGGTGGCGCCATGTCCTAACGGCCAGCCACGCCCCAGAGTGGTTCCGCCTCATGGATGCGCTGCTGGCGATCGGATTGTGAGGACTCCTCCAGGGCCCTGCTGACGGGCAGGGAGAAGAATTCGGGCCGCGATTAGCGCCCGTCGACCAGGAACGCTCTGAGGGCCTCTGCGCCGTAGGGCTCGCCCCGGCTTCTTGCGTCTCCAAAGAAGACACAGTGGGGCCGCGTCTGCGGCGAGCGGAGCAGCGGCTGCCGAAGGCCGCCCTCTGGGCTCGCGAGCATATCTACGAGGCCGTCGATGGACATGCGGAACCGGCGACTGGTCGAGGAGCTCTCCCCGTGCGCTTGGTCGTAATTACAGGACACGCAAGTCGACGCCGCCGCTCTTGCCCCCCGATAAGGAGAATGTCCATGTGAGCGCTCGGCGAGCAGTTCGCCCGTGCGTCGAGGAGAGCTCAGCTGGATACCCGTTTGCCTTCTCGGTTGGAACGCTCCACATGATGAGCACGCCCTGCGGGGTGCTCCTCGGCGGCGGCAGGGGGAACCCAGCGCCCAGCAGGTCGCCGTTTGCGCGGGGGGCGATGAGTTTGTCCTCGCGGGCCGCCTGCCCAGCAAACTCGAACCCGAGGAACTGGTGGAGGCCGCAGAGCAGCTTGAACTCTCCGTCCCCGAGATGCCCCGTTGCACAGTGGTTTGCGTCGTCTACGTGGAGGTCACATCAGATGCCAAAGAAGCGTCTCGCAGCAACGGCTCTCAGACTGGCCTGGTAGAACATTATCCGCCAATCTGTTTTGGCCAGAGCCAGGGGATCCCGCGGGTGAACCGCGGCGTCTGCCAGGGCTAGCGCCGTAACGCCGTCGACGCCACATATGTGCAAGTTCTCATTGAGGCACGTCGCGGACGCGACGCCGCCAGCGCGAGACCCCTGACATTTTGTGATTTGGTCGCCCTGCGCCACCCCGAACAGCAGGATATCGACAAATACCCCGAAGTTCAGTCGGAGGTTGCCGATGATGTGAGACACGGGGCGGCAGCCGCCATTTCGCAACCTGCTCTTGGACTGTGCTCGCGTGCAATGTTGATGTGGCCTTCCTACTGGCGGCGCCGGGCCGACTCCAAGATCCATGCTAGTAGAACTGGGTCTGCTTCTACCCCAGACGCCCATGTCCTGGACGTCGGGATGCCCCCGACCACGTGGAAGCCGCTCTGCAGGTCTGCGTCCTCGTGGCGCACAGCCCGAACTAAGGCGCCGAGCGAAGGGCCTTGCAAGTGTTTGCGCACGTGTCGCACACTCTCCGGCATGGCGTCCGCCTGCGCCTGCTGCCCCCTTGTCGGCAGGAAGTGCAGGCGCCGATTCTGTAGCTTCGCCCACCGCTGCTTCTGGGCCGTAGGCAGGCCAGCCCCGAGCCTGGAGCGCATGGCCATTGCGTCCTTGCTGGATTGTTCCTGCTTCGTGCCTGGCTCGGGCAAGGCGAAGCAGGCCGACTGCGCCCAGGCGACGATTGCCACGTGCGCTCCTGTGCGCGGGCCATGTGGCAACGACGCGGCCACCGACGACGCCGTCTCGTGGTCTGTTGGCGCGGCAGACGGAGCGGCGGGCACGCGCGCGGGCGTCTTCCCAAGCACCGCGGGGCGGGCCCCGGCTGCTAGCGGGGGCCCCCCGGCAGCTGGGCACCCCTGGCGCTGCTCGCGCTTGGGCGGCACCAGCCCACGGCTGCGGGAGCGGGAGCGCCTTCGCTCTGCCTGCCCGCCGTCAGCCCAGTCCTCTTCGCCGTGGCCGCGCGACAACGGCTGCCCGCTTTGGGCCGCGCCCTTGCCGCTGACCTGGTCCAGGGCACGCTTGCCCCTGGTCTTGATCAGCTCCATGCCGAGCGGCCGGATGTGGTTCGGCAGGCAGCCCTCCTGCGTCCTGCCACGGAATGGGGAGGGGGAGGAGGGGGAGGAGGGAGGAGGGAGGGGGAGGGGGAGGAGGAGGGAGGAGGAGGAGGAGAGGAGGAGGAGGAGGAGGAGGAGGAGGAGGAGGAGGAGGAGGAGGAGGAGGAGGAGGAGCGCACGCCTTGGCCGCGCCCGTGCTTGGCGCACCCGCCAGAGACAGGGCGAGAGCAGAAGTGGATGGCGTCCGACTTCCGCTTGGAGCTCGCGCCCAGGCCGGTTGGGATTCTCCCTCCTCCTTCCTTCCCCCCTCCTCCTCCTCCTCCTCCCCCCTCCTCCTCCTCCCCCCTCCAGCTCCTCCTCCTCCCCCTCCCTCCCTCCCTCCCCCTCCTCCTCCCCCTCCTCCCCCTCCTCCTCCTCCTCCTCCTCCTCCTCCTCCTCCTCCTCCCCCCCCTCCTCCTCCTCCTCCTCCTCCTCCTCCTCCGCGCTCTGCCTGTGCCACAGGACCTCCTTTTTGTCGCCAAGAAATGCCTCTGCGAGAGCTTGCGGGTCCGTCTTTCTCTTGGCTGCTTTCCAGGCGCTGTTCTGGACGAGCTGGTCGTAGGTCATGGCATGCTTCTCTGCCTGCGCCAGATGGCAATTGGTATATGATGCCAGCCCTGCGAGCTTGTCCAGATGGTTAAGCACCGCGGCGACGCTGAGTCGATCATGAAGAAGCCCGGCCCTTGCGAACTTCATGAAACCGGACGTCCATTCTGCGAACGTGCGGCCCTGTGTCCAGGCCCGGCTTTCCTCCAGCACTTCCACATATTCCCTGTGCACGAGTGGCTTGTTGGATTTGGTCGCCGATTCGAGGAGTTTCATCTGCTTCCTGTCAGGAGCGAAAGAAGGACGTACACGTACATGAATCCACGCTGGTTTCGAGAGTGCGCAGTGCGCGAGTCTTCGTATAACGCGGCCAGTTTGTGCCCTTTGTGCTATTTGTGGGCTCCCTATCGTGGTGGGGTAATTAGGTCCAGAGAGCTGGTTCCCCGAGTCTGGCCTGCTGGATCCGCTTCCCGACGTCGGGTTGCGCCTACTTCTGCAACCAGCGACAAGGCCGAGCCGCTGGACAGCGCGAGCGCCGCCTGGAGCAACCGAAACTGCTCTGTTTCTCCTCCTCCTCCTCCTTCTCCTTCTCCTCCTCCTCCTCCTCCTCCTCCTCCTCCTTCTCCTCCTCCTCCTCCTCCTCCTCCTCCTCCTGTGGAGCGTTCACCGGGACCGGAGCGGGACCCTGGGATGGCTCGGCTGCCACTGCCAGCGTGGGGAGGGCAGATCTTCTTCACAAGTTTCTCCACCAACGACCCGACGCCGGGCGGCGTCCAGACCCTCTCCTGAAAGCCCGGGCTCGGCCTCCAGTAAGACGGCAACTCGTAGACAAGGTTGCCGAAATCGATAAATTCTGCTAGCGCAAGAACTATGCCAAGCAAAGCCAGACGTGCTGAGGATATGTTCTTGACCTCAATGGCGAGCTCGCCGGGCCCGCATACCAGTTTGCTGTCATCCGAGGGGCTGGTACCCCGACCGAGCATCTGAAGGACGGATGCCTCAAGCGCTCGACATCGACATCCGTGCTGACAAAGGCACGGGCCGCGCGCGGGCGAGGCGGCAAAGAGATGGAGGAGGCGCGCGCGGGGCGGGTCGCGGCTCGCTCCTGCGCGCGAGCCCAAGCTGCAGGCGGAGGAGAGGAGGACGGAGCAAACTGAAGAGCCTGGGATCGGGAGGGAAAAAAGGCCGGGTCTCACCCAAGGCCGGGGCGCAAATCCCAGAGAAAAACATGGGCCAAGGGAATCGCCCCCCCCAATCACATTGCGCATAGAGCAGCAGCGGTGAGGCGCGCATCACAAGAACAACATGACAAGGTCATCCGTGCTCTTTGTGAGACTGCGTGAGTTCTGCGGGCCTCCTTGAGGGGGAGCTTGGCTTCGATTTTTTGTCCTGCGCCATGGAGGGTGGGTGACTGTTGTCGCGGGCGGTCGGGGGCAGTGCCCCGGGGCCCCCGCAGGGCCTCGGCGGGGCTTCCCTAGGGATTCCGCGGGGGCGCGTTTCCGACGGGCGCCCCGGGGCGAACCGTCAGGATCTCGGCTTCGCCCTACAACAACGGCGTTGTTGTGGGACCCTTGCATGTGGAAGAACGCAATGGTAACCATGCCCACCAGCCTGTCGAGATTTCAGTTTCTACCACGACGCGTTTCGACAACGAAATTCTGCCGTCGGGAGGGTTCCAGCGCGCGTTGCCGTACGTAGGGCTGGTCTCCAGGCCCCGACGGCCCCGCGGGGGTCGGTGCGCAATGTGTCCCAGATAGTTCCAAGAGCCCTTCTAAGGCCGTTCGTAGGGCTTCAAGAGAGCCCCGCGAGGGCCCCAATGGGGGACGAAGATCCTTCCAGAGAGCCCCAAGAAAGACCCACTGCCCCTTCACAAGTGCCCCAAGAGGGCCCCCAGAAACCCAGGGAGGACCCCGGACGTACGCGACGAGAGTGTTCGGTGGATAACGAAATGCACCTTGCGTAGTTCAGGATGCTCAGGCACGCGGCAGCCAGCTTGTCATAAGCGATTCCAGCCCCACCCGGCCCAGAACCCCACCTTTAGTCTTTCCCGATGGGAGACACAAGAAGAAGGCTGTGGAAGAGGACGAGGGTGGAAGGGGCGACGGGAGAAGGTGGATGTGCAGAGAGGGGACGAGGGGGCACGAGCAGGAGGAGGAGGAGGAGGAGGCGGAGGAAAACCCCAGACCGGCGACATCGGAACAGCCCCCCGTTCCGATGGCCCCTGCCCCCCGGCCCTCCTCGAGCCCGCGGCGGCGGGGCGGGGCTGGAAAGCGCAAAGCAAGAACCCGGCGCGCCCAGCGGCCGCACCGACCTGAGCCGGGCCGCCGCCGCCTTCGGCTACGCCTCGCAGGCCGCGGCCTCCGCCGGCGCGGGCGCCGGCTCCGGGCGGCGGCGACGAAGACGGCGTCGGCAGCAACCATGGCGCGGCCGAGAGCGACGGCGACGGCCGAGAGCGACGGCGGCGGCTGCGGCGGCGGCAGCTACGATCACGGCTCGGCGTCGACGTCGGCGAGTGCGGTGGCGGCAGGGGCGGCGGCGACAACGGCGGCGGCGACGGCGGCGGCGACGATGATGACGGCACCCGTCTCGTACCCTTCATTTGCCCTCTCTTGCCGTAGGGCGGAGGGCCTTCTCCCGCCGTAGGGCGGAGGGAAAGGGAGGAGAGAGGAGGGGGAGAAAACAGGAGGGGGAGAAGAATGGGGGTGAGGAGGAGGAGTTCGAGGCTGACGACGAAGACGAGTTTCCAGCACCCATGGCAGGCCCGCCTCGTCGAACAACCGCCATCCTGCACAGGCAGCCGTGCAGTCGAGTCTTGCGCCAGTCAGCAGGTGTATTGCCAGCAGATCGCCAACGCAGTTCCCCTTGATAGTTGCAGCCGTCGATGTGGAAGGCGGTAGTTGATCGTAGGGATGACTCGCGCGCGTGTGTGTGTGTGTGTCTGTCTGTCTGTCTGTCTGACTGTCTGACTGTCTGACTGTCTGACTGTCTGACTGTCTGACTGTCTGACTGTCTGCCTGTCTGCCTGTCTGCCTGTCTGCCTGGCTGTCTGTCTGCCTGTCTGCCTGTCTGCCTGTCTGCCTGTCTGCCTGTCTGCCTGTCTGCCTGTCTGCCTGGCTCCCTGTCTGCCTGTCTGCCTGTCTGCCTGTCTGCCTGTCTGCCTGTCTGTCTGCGTGTCTGTCTGTCTGTCTGTCTGTCTGTGTGTGTGTCTGTCTGTCTGTCTGTCTGTCTGTCTGTCTGTGTGTGTGTCTGTCTGTCTGTCTGTCTGTCTGTGTGTGTGTCTGTCTGTCTGTCTGTCTGTCTGTCTGTCTGTCTGTCTGTCTGTCTGTCTGTCTGTCTGTCTGTCTGTCTGTTTGGTGTGTATATGTATGTGTGTGCGTGTGCGTGTGTGTGTGAATATGTGTGTGTGCGTGTGTGTGTGTGTGTGTGTGGGTGCGTGTGTGTGTGTGTGTGTTTGTGTGTGTGCGTGTCTGTGTGTGGCGGGCTCTCACGCTCCGCGTGTACAGTTTAACCCTGACGCGAGTCGGCACTGCTGCATACAAAAACCCTAGCCTCGGATGCCTGCCAACAGCCTGCCGCCTGCCGCCTCTCCCTGCCCGTTTTCGCAGGCGGCGTATCTGCACCAGTGGCAGTCTGGTTTGCTACCCACGTAGGCTGCGCCCATCTAGTGCCTAGGGCCTAGGCTCAGCCGAGCGGGCACGAAGATGTCGACGCCTCCTGTTTCGAGCTCTGGGCCAGAGCATCGTGTCTCCAGGGGCGCTGCTCCAGGCGCGGCGCGGCCAGATAGCGCAAATATACTTGCGGTTCGAGCCTCGCTTGGCGCAGAGCGCGAAGTGAATTGACCCATCTCATCCCAGTGACTCCGAAAGAAGGTGGAGGATGGAGGAGCAGGAGGAGTTATCAGCTGGAGCAGATCTCGTCGTCCACATCCCCGCGACCCCCCCCCCCAGCCTGCTTCTCCCTCATTCCCCTCGCCTTTCCCCTTCCCTTGTCCTCTCCTTCCCCCTTGGGCTCCCCCCTTCTCCCCCGTCTCCCCCCTCTTTTGTTCCCCCGCCCAGAATCCCCCCTATCGCCCTTCCACTCTACGGGTGGAACCTGTGTCACTGGGTCCTCTTCCTAGGGAAGCAGGCGGGTAGCAGCCCGTTCATCACCCCAGTTTGCCCGTACGGGGCCTTGTGGAAAGAAAATTGCACCCTCGTCGCCTCGCCTCCCCCGAGGGCAAGGGTGGGGGGCGGGTCCCATGCGGGGGACCCATTGCGGAAGATCCCACACCCATCCTTCCCACGGCCAGGATGCTCCGCACTGGCGTGCGTGGGGGTTGGAATCGCCCGAGGGAGTGGCGCCCCTCGGGGTGGCATGGCGCCCCCGGATCGACGTGGAGGAGGCACGTCGCTATCTGAGGCCAGTCGCGGTTCGAAAGTGATGAGCATAGGGGAAGGACCTGTTTGTAGCTTTCTGCGCTTAGGTGAGCGCTACATCCCGGAGGAGTGCGCACGCAGGCACGGAGGATCCCGCGGGAGCCGTAGGGCGAGCGTTTCTGTTTTGCCTCTCGTCCGCCCTTCGAAGGAACTGTCTCGGTGCAAAGGCAATGAGAGAAAGTGAGCGTTTAGGCTGTTTTTTGGGTTATCGCACTCTTGTGCTGGCGGTAATCCTGGTAATCCCCTCCACCCTATTGGAGGACCCGGAGGAGGATACGGGGGTGGCAGGGCAAGGATGGGGAGAACGAGGGCCAGCACGAGCATTACGACAACGACGACGGCGAGGCGGACATGGCGGGAGAGGCGTTCGGGCCGGTTTGGCAGCCTGCACTAACGCCCGCAGGATGAGGACGAAGGGAACAAGAACGAGACAGAGGAGGAGGAGGAGGCGGAAGAGGAGGGGACGACGACGTGAAAGCCGAGAAGGAGGAGGAGGAAGGGGAGGAGGAGGAGGAGGAGGAGGAGGAGGAGGAGGAGGAGGAGGAGGAGGAGGAGGAGGAGGAGGAGGAGGAGGAAGAAGGGGTGGACCGAGGAATCGCAGACATGAATAAAGGTGCGTGGATTTGAGACGGGTCCCGTTCCCATGCAACTTCGAGTCGCCAAAGTAGGCGACGCTGGCTTCGTGTCCCGCCCCGATCCGTGGATCTTGCGCCCACGCGCCAGAACGATGGAATCGTTGTCCATGTTAGCCTGTGCCCAGGAGGAGGGCGGGGCGGAGGGGGAATCTTGAAGATCATGGCGAGGATGACGACGACGCCGAAGAGGGTGATGAGGAAAAGGACGAGCAGGAGAGGGCAGGACGGGGAGGAGGAGGAAGGGCCAGTACGCGGAGACCCAGGGACGAGGAGGAGGAGGGGGAGGAGGAGCAGGACGAGGAGGAGGCGGGGGAGGAGGGGAGGAAAAGGAGGAGGAGCAGGAAGAGAGAAGGAGAAGGAGGAAGGAGGAGGAGGAGAGGAGAGCAGGAGGAGGAGGAGGAGGAAGGAGGAGGAGGAGGAGGAGGAGGAGGAGGAGGAGAGGAGGAGGGGGAGGAGGGGGAGGAGGAGGAGGACGAGGAGGAGGAGGAGGAGGGGGAGGAGGAGGATCGTTTTTTGGGGGCCGCTGCCGGCCGCCGCGGCGCGGCGCCGCAGGTCACTGGCCCGGGCTACTCCACCGCGGACCTGCGGGTCTCGGTGCAGGCCTGCCGCGCCTGCCTCGCCCGCCGTGCCCCGCTTTGCGTGTGGAGGCGTCCCAAGAGGGAGGGGGGGAGCGCTTCAAAGGGGGGGGGGGGGCCACTCTCCTCCTCCTCCTCCTCCACCTCTTCCTCCTCGCTTTCCTGCTCCTCCTCCTCCTCCTCCTCCTCCTCCTCCTCCTCCATGGTGGGGGTCAGGATATCCCCGCAGATAACATGGCCTCTTTTTTTTTTTCATTTGTCAATACGCAGGCCTCGGGCCATGACTTGCGAGTCCTCTTCTGGACGCTCCCTCTTTGACGCTCCCGGTCGTCGTCGTCGTCGCCGTCGTCGCCGCCGCCGCCGCCGTCTTTGTCTGTGCATGATGCCGTGCCCGCGTGACCCGCTTGGCCAGCCTCGTGTCGATGGCGTCCAAAAGGGGGTGATGATTACACTTTCCTGGACAAGTAACGCCAACTTGTTTTCAACCTCTTGCCTCCCCCCTGACCCACGATCCCAATGTTGGGCCAGCCACGGGCGACGACGGAAAACTCGGATCGCTCGGCGCTCCGCGCGAACTCTGAAAATGAGGGGCGCGGGGAGACGGACCGCGCGCGAGAGTTGCATGATTGTTCCAGGGTCGTGTAGAGGTGTTGACACGGTTGGGAATTGTTGGCGTTGTAGCCATGAGCGACGACAGACCAGACACTCCCATGGCTGCCGACACAGACAAGTCCCAGGGCACGATGGACAACGACTCGCGTATGGGCCACCAGGACCCGCCCGACCACAACGGCAACGACGAGAGCGCGGAAGACGAGATCCCTCCTACGAAGGTGGAGTCTCCCGACTTCGGGGAAGACGAACCCCCTCGTCCTCTTACTTGCTCAGAGTCGGCCCAGGACGACGATGATAATCGCTCAGGCGACGAGGCGCCTCAGCAAAGCCCATCGGCGGACAGCTCTGACTCCAGCCGCGAGGAAACCGCGACCTCAGCCGGGGAGGAAGCGCCCCGCGCCGACCGCCGTAGCGATCCAGCCCGGGATCCCGCGAAGGACGAGAGAACCCGCGACCGCGGTGACTCGCGGTCCGAGCGCTCTCCCGCGCCCACCCCGCAGCTCCCTGGACAGAGGCGCTATCACCCTCGCCATACTGGTACATCGGAGCAGGATGCACTCAACCGGTTGACCTGTTCGGAGGGGGGCGGCCCCATGTACAAAGTCTGGCTGGGTACAGTTGACCTCGAGCGTCCCAGCGAGACCCCAGCCAGGCGCATAGCCAGGCTTCAGTCGGAGCTGGGCGCAGTCTCCTGCGCGCTTTGGACAGCAAACACGCAACGAAATTGGATCCCTGGATCCAGGGCGCCCAAATCCGACCCGAAACTACACACGGCCACGGACATCAACAACTTTCTTGATGCCTGGAAGGACTGTGGGTATGACGCCTACCAGATGAACACGAGGCTGGGCTATGGCATTGACTGGGATAGGCTACGAGCCAACTACCTGCGGCACTCCCGTACAGACCACAGGGGCTAAGGCAGCTACCACCAGACCGGCTGGCGTGACCGCGCGTCAAGTTCCTGGGACAACTGGGGCAGCTGGCAGGGCGAGTGGAGTGACGGATGGCGTGAAGATCGCTGGCAGACGGGTGGCAAACGCGACGGTGACTGCTCCGACGAGCGGGACGATAGAGTTGAAAAGAGGCTCCGCTGGAGAGACTGAGCCCACTCCTCGCTCTCTCCCCGCCCCCAGCGCCTAGCGCCACCACCTACACCTCTCTACACACTGTTTGCGGCCCTCCGCCGCTTTCTTTCTCCAACCGTGGGGCAGCACCACCGCCCCCTCCCCTGGACGGCACCCCTCCTACCTTTGAACCTCGAAGTGCCGCTCAGTAATACCATCTGCACTCTGCGTGACAGCGCGCATCCTGCAGACCCACAGGCCACTGGTCCCGCTGCCTTACTCTACCGGTGGCCACTGCACTCTCGCCGCAAGGCTTCCTTGTTCCTCCCCGGCTGCGTTTCACATCCTGACATCCTCCTGGCGCTGCCTTGGGCTGCGCCGCGGGCCCCTTCAATTGCGGCGCTTTGCCGCCCTCCTTCCGATGTGCGCACCTCCTGCCTTTGGATTCAAGTGCGCGCTTCGGTAATACCGTCCACAGCCCTTCCGCTGTTGGACTCGCGGCCTCGGCCCTACTGTAGGTCTTTCACCGCCAGGCGTGTCCTGGCCCGTGTCTGTGGACGCTGGCTTGCCTGTCCACAGGCCCACTCCCTGGATCTCTTAAATGCTGAACGGCCTTCCGCCGTGACCCTGGATCGAAGTGGCTCTGATGGATGCGTCTTGGGTATACGGCGGTCTCGTCCCTCGGGTGCTATCCGACTCGGTTTGGGTAGCGCTGAGACACTTTGGATGTGCACTCGCCACGTGGTCCACCGTGTATCGTGCACACTACGGCGCCCTTCCACTCGCTGGATCTGGGCTGACGCATCTCAGTTGTGGAAGGTTCTCCTGTCTACATGTTTCCACACCCTGGATGCGCGTTCTGGCGTCGCGACTTTGATTCGCCGTCAGGCTCTTCCGCTGGACTTATGTCTCCAGACAGTCTGTGTTACCCGTCAGACTCCCTGGATCGACGTCCTCGGGAACGTTCCTACCTGTTCGCATCTGAACTGCTGGGAGAGCCTCACGCGCCATTTTGGCTGCGCTCGGTCTCCTCGGTGCCTGTCTTCAGACTCCCTGGATGCGCCGTTGTATGTCTCGTTCAGGGGCTGTTCTGCAGACTCCCTGGATTGCACGCTGGCTCTGCCGCCCTGGGCGCTGCCCCCCCCCGCCGCCTGATCCGCGGCCCCCGCGCGCGCTCGGCAATTTAGTCGCGGCCGTAGCCCGCCCGCGACCGCCCGCCGCTGGCGCTTCCGCCTGCGGCTGTTAAAAAAAAAGAATCCCCACCAGCCCATCCAGGAACGATGCCCAGAGGAATTGCCTCGATCAGGGAAGTGGGCAGCACACAGAGGAAGCCATTATGAGACATCTTGGGATATCTTGCGCCATCTTGGAGGTCATTTTGGGCTCCCCCAGGCGCTCTTGGAGTCATCTTAATCAGTGCCCCCCCCCAAGAGGCCAGCACATGGCTAAAACCTTGGTGAAATCAATGATTTGGCATTCTCGCCGAGGCCTCTTGGAACATCTTGGGTGCCTCCGGGGGGTCTCTTGGGGCCTGTTGGGGGTCTCTTGGGGGCCTCCTGGGGGCCTCTTGGCGGCCTCTTGGGGCCATCTTGGGGCCATCTTGGGACCTCTTGGGGCTTCCTGGGCGTTTCTTGGGGCCGTCTTGGAGGACATCGATCAAAGAAGAGGGGAGCTTCAATTAGGGTTGCCCCCCCGGGAGGCCAACATGGAGCCAAAACCTCAGTAAGATGAATGATTTTGGCTTCCTCGCCGAGGCCGCTTTGGACGCTCTGACCGCTCGCGGCCCCCCCCGTCCAGGTCCATGGGGGGGGGTAGGGGGAGGAGTGAACCCTTCCCCGAAGGGGAAGAGGGGGAGGTGGAAGAGGAAACGCCCTAAACCACCGACGCCCAGCGGGCTGGTGGGACTTTGGCTTAGCGTGTCGCGGTGCCCGCTGGTTCTGGCCCACCGTGCTTCGGCGCAACGGGCCACCCTGGTCCCTAGGTGTCCACGCGCCGAGGTTACTCTATCCTTCCGCCCCGCGGAGTGGAGCGACACGCCATCCGCTCGAAGGGCACAGCGTGTCGGTGGGCCGCCGCCGCGGTCCGCCAAGCAACAGTTCTCGACGTGAGATCTCCCCAATACCTCATGGCCCTCTGTGTCTTCTCTCAATGCGAGCCCTTGGCCCCTCTTCCCTCGTCCGCGTACATGCCTCGAGCCGTGATGTGCCAACTCCCGTCTCGGACGCACCCCCTATCGGGCGACCCCGATCGTTGTCGTCGCCGCCGCGTTCGTCGGTCGATGCAGGATCGACCCATCGAGGCTCTTCCTCAGTCTCGGCCTCCCCGGGCCGCTTCTGGGCCCCGGGGACCCTTGAAACGTGGGCCCTGGGACGGCAAATTGCTCCAAAGGAGGGGTCGAGACTTCTAGTGTCGTCGATCGTCACCGTCGTCGTCGGTCGTCGTCGGTTGTTGTCGTCGGTTGTTGCAGGTTGTCGTCGGCCGTCGTCGGTGTTCTAAGATTTTCCTTTGTTCCCAAGGCTTCTGCGATGTTCTTGGGGGATGCCGGAGCTCCTCGGAGGCCCCCAAGATGTTCTCGGATATCGCCGCTGCCGTTGTTGTCGCCGTTGTCTTAATCGTTGTCCTTGGCCTTTGAGGATTGAGGTTTAGCGACCTGTCCGGGCCTTCTTGTTCGCCGCGGCCAGATCTGCCTGGTGGTCCTGGTCAGAGCGCACCTCGGCAGAGGTTCGTGGCTCAATGGCCGCTGTCGTGCTCGTTCTCGCTCTCGTCGTCCTCTCGCTGCTGCTGCTCTTTGGGGGCAGGGAGGCGAGCGATGAGCAGCACCGAGCAGGGAGCAGGGGGATGTCTAGCAGGGAGAGGCGCAAGAAGAGCATTATGCTGCGTTTTGACCCCTCTTTTCCTCCTCCCCCTTCATCGGCCTCCTCCTGCTCCTCCCGCTTTGGTTTCTCCTTCGCCTCCGTCCCTGGTCTTACTGCTGCTGCTGCTGCTGCTCCTTGTCCGCCTTTATTCTCGTCGTCGTCCTCGTGTCCTGTCTCTCCCATCACCCTCGTCCTTCTTCTCCGCCTTTTCTCCTCCATGTCTCCTTGGCGGGATAGCCTGCCCTCCTCCTCCCCGTTTTCTCTCCCTTCTTCTCCTCGGGTCTTCCCTTTCCTCCCCCCACCTGCTCTTCGTTTTCTGTTGCATCACCCTCTTCCCTCTTCCCCCCTCCTCCGCGCTTTCTGTTTTCCATCCTCCTGGGCGGGGCAGCGCGCTGCACGGCGGCGCGCCGAGCTCTCCGCCTCTCTTGCCGGACAGGGGGAGCCGTCCGGAGCCGTCCCTCCCCCCTCCCCCCCACACTCCCTCCCTCCTCCACTCTCCCCCCACCTCCCCCCCCTCCGCCTCGCCACTCCTCCCCCCTGTCCCCCCCTGCTCCTCCTCCCCACTCCTCATCCCAACACCTCTCCACTCCTCTGCCCTTCTCGTCCGTCCTGCTCCCCCCTTGCCCCCCTCCTCCCTTCTTCCCCGGCTCCTCACCCCCCGCCTCCCCCTTTCTTCTATTCCTCCGCACCCTTCCCTCCCTCCCTCCCCTCCTCCTCCTCCTCCTCGTCCTCCTCCTCCTCCTCCTCCTCCTCCTCCTCCTCCTCCTCCTCCTCCTCCTCCTCCTCCTCCTCCCCCCCTCTCCTCGTCACTCTCAATTCCTTTCCCTCCTGGAGGGCCCCCGTGGCATCAGCGCCAGAGGCCTCCGCGCGCGCCTCGTCATTATTGTCGCCGCCGCCCCCGCCGTCGACGTCGACGTCGATATCGTCGTCGTCGGCGTCGTCTTCGCTACCGCCCCGGAAGGAGGACGCGAGGGAGGGAGGGAGGGATGCAGGGAGTGGACCAGCAGAGGAGCTGCAGAGGCAGGAGCCGTGGGGCGTGAAGGAGAAAGGAGGAGGAGGAGGAGGAGGAGGAGGAGGAGGAGGAGGAGGGGGACTTGAAGGAGCGAGGAGCAGCGGGGAGGAGGAGCGGGGACGTGAAGGAAGAGGGAGGAGGAGGGGAAGGGGGAGGAGGACGTGACGGAGGGAGGAGGAGGTGCGTGTGGAGCGGCAGAGGGAGGAGCTTGCCGTGGGCGACGAGCTGGCCGGCTCGAGCAAGCCTGCGACCGTCCCGCCCACCACCCTGGGCCCCTTCCGGAGACGCAAGAACCTGTGTTGACACAAGCGGACGTCGGAACTTCTAAGCGATATCCTCAGGAGGGAACAATCGACAGAGACACAGAGAAGCGTCGATTCCTGCGAGACTGCGCGAGATCCTGGGAACCAGAAGCGATGGACACAAATGAGGAATCTTGAAATCGGTGCGAGTTGGTTGTGCCTCCCCGGGCCCCTTTTTCACCTCCCGCTCGGAGAGTGCGAGGCGCTGGCGCGCGGCCCCAGTTCCGAGGGCGCGGCGAGGGGAGCAGCTCGGGTCGGGCGAAAGGGGGGGATAGCAAAGGTGGGGTTTGAGAATCAGCTCACGTAGCTGATTTTCCCGGCACCTCCCGGCGCCGGAGGCGACTATTATAAATCGAGGAATGGGCCCCTCGGTGAGGCCGAAATCAGCTGCATGCAGCAAATTTCGTAACCCCCCCTTTCCCAATCCCCCCCTTTCGCCCGGCCCGAGCAGCTTGTGCCGCGCGCAGGCGGGAGTTGGGCGCTCGGCAGGCCGTTGCGCGGTGCCTCGGCCGGGGCACCGCCTCCGTCCCTCTGCGCGCGGCCGGACCTCCAATATGCCGATGTGAGCTGCGAAGACAGGGTACTCCAGATTTCGTAATAAAGGGAGGGGGGTCTCATTTCGGGGGGGGGTCTCTTCCAGGCTATCTTGGAGGGCCTGGGGGGGTCTGGGGACGATGTTTTGGGGGGCTCTCCCACGGGGGAGGTCTGAAATGGCTTGTCTTGGAGGGTCCAGACCCCCTCCCTTTTATTACGAAACCTGGAGTACTCAGCATGGGGCATGTATCAAGGGGCAGGGGGTAACCTCTCGGCGGAGCTTGAACAATTCCGCCCCCTCCGTCCACCTCCCCCTCCTCCTCCTCCCCCTCTTCCTCCAACCTCACCTTCCACCCGTGTCGACAGCACGTGCCCAACCCCCACATCGGATTCAAGGGGGGGCAATTGTTGTCCCATCCAGAGTATATGGGGGGGGGGGCGCTGGGGGCGGGGAATGGGGGGGGGATTGCGTGAGTCTGAGGTAAAACACCTTCCGAGGGCGAGGGCGATCGGCATCGGCCACGCATAGTTACTCATACTGTGTACGCTTCGGTTGCCCACTGGCGACACGCGCTCTCAGAAATCATAGCGCACATGGCTGGTGAGTCGGTGGCGGGCGCTTTCTGGCCATATCGCCTGGGGCGAGGATACGCCATTGGTTTCCGACGGATGTGCGTAGTTCCAGGCATCCAACATGGGGCCGGGATCAATGGGATCGGAGGATCACGCCGCATCTCGGATGCATCAGCGATGCAACGCAGTCCTCCCACTCCATCTTTCCCGTCCCCATGAGAGAGGCTTCAAATATACGGCGGCGAGCCCGAGGGGGAAGTCAGAGGGGACAGGCCTCAGAAGGCGGCAGGGCTTCTCAGACGCCCCCGCGCTTTCAGAGAAATTGTTTAACCATTCTCTGGCGACAGAGACGGTATCTTAGAAGCCCAGAGGACTCTATTTGGGCTCGCCGCCGAAGTATTGTGCTTTTACGTGCTCCCCTGTCCCAAGACTGCGGCGGCGCCGCCGCCGCCGTGCGGCGGCGGCGAGGCGGAGTCGTTGCGGACATCCGCCAGGTGCAGCCCGCAGCGGTGGGCGCGGGCGTGCCGGCCCCGCACCTGGGCTCGCTGGACGACGCGCCCGTCACCCAGAAGAGCATGGCCTACGTGCCCGTGGGCCTGGAGGGTGCCCAGGGGCGGCGGCGAGGAGGAGGAGGTAGGAGGGAGGAGGAGGAGCTGGAGGAGAAGGAGGTCGGGAGGACCAGTGTAAACCCAAGAGTCAGCAACGATGTTGGAATAGGCCCCTACATGGATTCATTTCCACTGGGGGAACTGCCTCCTGCCTCGTTGGAACACAACCGTTTGAATACCCTGAAGCATGCCAAGACATTCTCGGGACTCCAACGCCACGGATCAACCTGACTGTTGAGTCTGGACGATCCCGAACCTTGCCAGACTTCAGCATCGCGAATCAATGTAAATACTGCACCCTCATAATTTTGAACCTCGCCAAGACACAATTCCTGGTACGTTGACCATGGGAACCCGTGAAACTCTTCTAACTGTTATGCAAAATGTGCGCGGCGCTAGGGCGAGAGCCGCATTTTGAAAAGGAGACGCCCTCAATCTGTGAAGTTTTTGCAACGTTTGAGACGAGTGTGCGCGGCGCCACGGCGAGAACCACATTTTGAAAACGACCCGCCCTCAATCTGCGGATTTTGTTCAATTTTAGAAACGAGTGCGCGTGGCGCTAAAGCGATTACCACATTTTGAAAACGACACGCCCTCAATCTTTAAAACGGTTGTCATTTGGTAAGCTTCCGGGTCATAAGCGGTGAGGACGTCTCAGGCGAAACGCACGGCCAGCCCTCTCGATTGGCCTCGGGGTGCGGCAGGGAGAAGTTTTCGTACGTAAAAGTCTTGGAGGAGGAGGAGGAGGAGAAGGAACAGGAGGAGGAGGAGGAGGAGAAGGAACAGGAGGTGGAGGAGAAGGGACAGGAGGAGGAGGAGAAGGAGGAGGAAGGAGCCTCGGGCCCAGACGCCCGTGGCAGCGCGCCAGTCTTAGGGGGCCAGCCACGATCGAAAACCAGATCTTTCCAAGTCCCATTACATCCTTTGATACTTCCATGTCTGTACACCCTCTTATCTTCCATTCTTATCATGTCTTGATTTCTTCCTCTCACGCAGCGCTACGCTGCACCATCCTGTGCTATCACGTACGGCAGCACGCGCCACCTCGGCTACGGCATCTACCCCGCACGCCCACACCACAAGCACCAGTTTCGTGGCCGATTGGGCCTGCGTTTGCTGCATCTTGCAAGCAATAGCGCCACGACCCCGTCGACTTCTCTCAACCCTGCCTGGTACATAGAAAGGACTACGAGCAACTGCACGCACATTATTACGAGGCGCCTCTGCGCGAACTTTAATCGACCAACCAACCCACCAGCTTACTCAAGCAGCACAGCTTCTATCCAACCGACATCACGGCGCACAACAACCACCAAGACAGGCAGCCCACACAATTCACGGCCACACACAAGCCCCGCAGGCCAAAGGCAAAGGCGAGAGGGAACACAAACAGCGACAACAATGCAACAGAGGCAAAGGACCATCCTGGCAATCTGTCGGGCACAGCGGATACGACTCTCCAGCTCAACAGGGTCAGACCTACGAAGCACAATCATTCTACTGGCAGCAAAAAGGCGACAACTATTACCAAGCAGCGCCGACCACACCATACTGGACACATCAGCCGCACATTCCGAAACAGCAGAGGAATACCACTCCAAGACCCGGCCAAAACAACCACCGACTACAACAACAAAGAACAACGCCTATGTACCACAAACAAGCTTCTTCAGTAACACGGAAAACACAGCATACACCGCACGAGAGAGCCAGTCCTGGATCGACAGCATACCAAATGCTTACCACAACGACGTGGTACACAAGGCGAGAACGCCATAATTCTTCAATACCCGAATGCCAATCAATGACTTCTTCCTCTTGAGGCCCTCTTGGCGGGCCTCTTGGAGGCTTCTTGGGGCGTCTTTGACGCTTCTCGGGCCACCTCGAGGCCATCTTGGGCGTCGTGGGCTGATGTTTGGGCGCCTCGGGGGGCCCTCTTGGCCCGTCTTGGAGGCCTCGTGGGGCCCTCTTGGCCCCTAAAGAGGCTCTCTTGGGCCGGCCACCCTTTCCAAAAGCCAAGTGGGCACGCGGGAAGCCCCAGATGGGCAAGCGACACGCCCCAGGAGATCTCGGAATTTGGGCTCCGGGCCCCTGGAGTGAAGATTGAGGCTTAGAGGATGAAGCAAATGATCTAGGCCTCCTAGATGGGGTCTGGGTAGATGGGCTCGGAGGATCGCGCCGCATCGTCGAATAATTGGCAATTGGCAATGCGGCTCGAGGCGTCGCCAGACTTTCTCCACGCAGGCGTCGCCGATACATCGCCGACGTCGCCGATGCATCGCTGATGCATCGGCGATGCATCGCTGATGCATTGGCGATATGGTGCGATCTTCCGGCCACATCTACTCGGAACCCATCTAGGAGGCCTCTAAATGACCTGAGGACACGCCCACTCCGAGTCCAGAGGCACGGTGGCGGATTGTGGTGGTGCACACAGGCGTTTGTTGCGCCAGTGTTGCAGGCGCGCCTTCGGGGGTTCACCCCCGCAGCCGTTACCGCGTTGCCCCCGATGGATGAAAGAACGATCTCCTGCCCGTGTAAGCCTGCGTTTTCCGCGTGGGAGATCTGCTAGAAGGTTGATGTACCCCAATACTGATCCTGTCGCCAACCTACGAAAAACCATTCCAGTTGCGTATAAAGCTTTGTAGATCTACGAAGCACCCCATGAACTCTCATACATTCGACGAACCAAATCAGGGGATCATCTATTATGCAGTCCATCTCTTATTCGAGTTTTTGCGCACACGTGCAAGATCTTCACTGTCTGAGCGTGCAGCCGCCCGCGGTTTCCTCCTCTTTTTTGCGCCCTTTCTTTCCTCCTCTGTGCCCAATGAAGCGCCGATGTGCCCCTCGTCTGCAACGACCGCGCCTTGGACCCAAGTCGCCGCTGACAAGAAGTACTGCCCCCCCCCCGAGAACAAACACCCCGGCACCCCGACCCTGCCAAGCCGATTCACGGATTTCCCTGTTTCGGAACTCGAGCGGACGTTGCGGCCGCGGTTGGACCCAGGTCGTTTTCATCAGAGGGTTTTCTGCTGACGGGGGTTCTGTCCAGCCCCGAGGGGTGAGCAGCGGGGACAGGCGGAAAGATGGAGGAGCGACAGACATGTGCTCGGGGCAGCGACTCGGTATGTATCTCTGGTCAGGGGGTGCGGGCTTCGGGTTGGACGGAAGGGGGGCGATTGGGGAAAGGCGGGCACGACATCTTCTGCATGCGGCTGGTTTCAGTTCCGCCACCAGGCCCTTCCCGTACTGGCATCGGTTTTTGAGGAATCGAGGTTTTTTTGACATTTCTTTTCCTCGGCGAAAGGGTGGCGGGAGGCGGCGGGACCAAAACGGGGGCGGCTCCGTCGGCGGAGGTTGGGCGGGACGCACAAGACATGCACCCCCAAGAGACGTCAACGCACTTGAATCCAGGGGGTCCAGAACTAGCCGCACGGCTGCCTCGGGCGCCGGGAGACGCCATGACAACCAGCTGCACGCAGCCGATTCGCTATCCTCCGTCTGTGCCATCCCTCTCCCGTCCACCGCAGGGGCCCTCCGCAAAGCGCGCTCGGCTGGCGGGTGGCCGCACGGGCAACCGCGGCAGCACCGAGACTTGCGGGGCCTTGGGCGATGTCGGAGCGTGTGGTTTGCCCCCCACTGTTGCACTCTGCTTATCGGGGGTGGGCACTGAGGCCTTGCACTTGTCCATGTTTTCGTGCTGTGTGACACCATCGCGTTGCCGTGTGGTTTCCGTCGCAGGGTGGCTCGAGACGCAGGCAGCGGCAGTGTGGGTCAAGCAGCCTTAGATCAGGCCTCGCCCTTCTCCTCCTCCTCCTCCTCCTCCTCCTCCTCCTCCTCTCCTCCTCCTCCTCCTCCTACTCCTCCTTCTTCTCCTCCTCCTCCTCCTCCTCCTCCTCCTCCTCCTCCCCTCCTCCTCCTCCTCCTACTCCTAGTCGAGCAGGATTTGTCGAGTCTCGTTGGCCCCAGTCGCTGGCAGCCGCTGCAGGTTTGTGCGAAGGCGGGGGAACGGAGCGCGCTGCTAGGCCGTGGCCTTGCTGCGGGCGGGACCATCATCATCATCATCATCATCCACCTTCGCTTCGCTTCGCTCGCGGCTCCATGTCCTCGCGGGACGCAGCCGTCCGCGCGGGCGTGCCCGCGCGTGCGCCGAAGGCGCGCTGGAGGGGAGCACCCCCCCTACACGACCCCCGCCAGGAAGGCCCAGGGAAGGAGCCGTCAAGGCTCCGCCAGGGAAGGGGCGGGGGAAAAAAGGACGACACAAATACAAGGCATGCTTACGCCCCACAACAGACCCCAGAAGGCAAACGCTGTCCGGGGAGGGGGGGTCAAAAGTTCCGCTAAGGAGGGGGAGGGAGAGGCCACATGGGAGCTACCCCCATGACGGCCTGCCCGCGGGTGGCGGCCCAGGTCAGACCTGGACCGTGTCCTCCCCCCCCTCTCCCTAGAGGGGGCGTCCCTGATGTTGTTGGCGGTCTCCGTGAGCGCTACGGCGGTCTTGCCGTGGTGCGCGCTCTTGTTGATCTTCATGGGCCATGTTACGGCCAACTCTGATCAGCTCGGGCTGCCCGCGATGGATGCGACAAAATTGTCGATTGGATTGTCGTGCTCGTCGGAGGAGCCGTAATATACTGCATAGATGCTGCTGGTGACGTCTACCATGGTCGGTCTCTTCGTAGCGAGATTCTCCACTGCGTAGAACATCATCTCAGTGTTCCAGATCGTCGTTGTCCCTGCTGGGGCTGCAGATTGTGCTAGTAGTGCTGGTACTTCGGCGACGTGGGCGACGTGGAATGTGTGGATGGCGAGGCGGGCATGGTGGTTCGCGACCAGTCGTCGTTCGGCTGCCTCGCCTCCAAGGCTTACTCTGCCCCAGGGTTCTGTGGTTGTTCTTGAAGATGCTGCTTTTCTGTCATGCTGGTCGCCCTCGCCTTGGTCTGTCCACGTCCTGGATGAGAGGCTGATCATCACTCCCGCGAAGTCGCCTTGTCG